TGCTAAATGACCGTGAAGCCCTTCTTGTGGCTCAGCAGATCCTACAAAGAGTGGAAGGAAGGAAGAAGGCCTGATTGTCAGCTCTTCAGCGATACTGTGACAATGACAGAGAAGCCATCAGCCAACTGTTCAGTCAGTCCAGGACAGTTGACATCACAGCAAGAATGATTTGGGTGTAAACCCAATACAACCAGCAAACTCAACTAGCCTGTGTTTGGGGAGCTGGTTTTTTGTTTTGTTACAACAGATCGGGGCGTTTCCATGCTCCCCCCCCCCACTTCAGTTTCTTGTCTTGTTAACATCCTACTTCACTATGACACGCTTGTCAGAACTAAGAAATCAACGTGAGCACGTTACTTTCGGCTAAAGGCACAGGTTAGTGGGATTCGCCTTTTCCTGTCTAAGGTCCCTTTCTGTCCTAGGATCTTGTTTCCTATGCAGTCACCGCATCTCCCCGGCCTGCTCCCATCTGAACGAGTATCTTAGACATTCCTCGTTTCTGAGGACATCAGCAGCCATGAGGGGTGCCAACTCAGTGTGCTGGAGATGAACCTTGAGGAGGACAAGGCCACTGTTTTGAGTCCCCCCCCCTGCACTCCCCCTCTATGATTAAAACAAGCTTATGGATTTCAGCAGGAAGACAACCACTAGGCTTGGAACAACTTACAAGGCCCCTCCACCCCGAAGACCCACATGCTGCAGGGTCAGTCACTAGCTTGTGGCTGGGAAATAATGGGGGGAGGTACTACAAGTTAGGTAATGGGGGTAATGTGGAATGGAATGTTGCAACTCAGCTGCCTTATGGCCATGAGGTAAGCAGCTCCCAACCATCATGTCCTCCTGCCACAATCTATCTACGGGCTGCTGCTTCCCTAAACTGATGGAGCCAAAGGGCTATGCATGGAAATTGTGGGCCAAAATAATTTTTTGCTCCTTTGGCATTATTTACCTGAGGTAGGAGACTGACTACATGACATGACATTGCTTATTTTCACCTTCCCACCACAGAGGCGGGGCTTAAAAAATTGCTTATCTTCATTTTATGTATACAGGTTTTGCCTGCATGTATATCTGTGGAGCTGCCACGTGGTTGCTGGGAATTGAACCTGAGTCCTCTGGAAGAGCAGCCGGTGCTCATAACCCGCTGAGCCATCTCTCCAGCCCCAGATTGATCAATCGAGAGGAGCCTTGATGGACAAGCAGCGTTTGTCAAGTTTGCTCACTATAAACATCCTTGTACTGGCTGGTTTTGTGTGGCAACTTGACGAAGAAGCTGGAGTCATCAGAGAGAAAGAAGCCTCAATTGAGGAAACGCCTCAACCGTAAGGCATTTGCTCAATTAGTGATCAATGGGGGAGGACCCAGCCCATGGTGGGTGGGGCCATCCCTGGGCTGGTGGTCCTGCTTTTTTTTTTAAGTAAGCAGGCTGAGCAAGCCATGTAAAGCAAGCCAGTAAGCAGCACCCTTCCAAGGCCTCCGCATCAGCTCCTGCCTCCAGGTTCCAGCCCTGGCTGAGTTCCTGTCCTGACTTCCTCCAATGATGGACTACAATCAGGAAATGTAAGCTGAATAAACCTTTTCCTCCTGAATTTGCTTTCTGGTCATGGTGTTTTCATCACAGCAACAGAAACCCAAACTAAGAGAGTCCTTTAGGACCACTCCTCCATAGTCCAGCTTTTGCAAGAAGTCCTTGGGGAAGAACCATTCTCATCAATTACATGGGATTCTTTTGTATGGAAAATTTACCTCATTCACTTCTCTCAGTCGGAGCTCACAGACACTTGCTCTGTATTTCGTTTCTAATGCAGTAACATCACTTAGTCTGTTGTTTCAATAGTCCCAGCTGGCTCACAGGAGCAATTTCAGGATGGTTCCAGTGTCCTGAAACTCCCATTTTCAACACATCCGTACTTCCTGCTTCTCCAGAAGGCTAAGTGTTGAACTCTATCGTTCTAAAATACCTGCATAGAAGTCCTAGTGGTCCCAGGCCCCTGTGGCTGTAAAATATAAGCCGAGGAATACCACAGCCAGCCAAAAGAACCGGGGGAGAGGCTGGCCAGATCCTCCCCAACAACTCCAGAAGAAACCGGCCCTGCTAACCCGTGGGCTCGAGGCAAGTAGAGCTGTGAGGCAATCCGCTCACTCAAGTTTGTGGTACCTTGTCATGGTGACCTGTGTAAATTATTACAAGGGCTGTGTCACCTATCTCTTCAAATTTTATTTAAAAACATATTTAGTATCAAAAAAAAAAGCAGGTGTAGAGAAGAGTCTCACAAAATCTTGGAAAACAGGTAAAAGTCAACAGCATGCAGTGTTTAGCGTTATACCTGGACGCACACCAGGCTTGGGGCAGTGTTTTCAGGTGTCTTATTTTATTTCCTCACAGAGCTTCCAGCCACCTGCAGCTCAGTACAGCGCTCTGCCAAGCACACCTGCGAGGGACAGCAATAGCTGCCCGTCTTGTATAATCACCATCTTCTTTGGCATGCCGAGGACCAGCTCCACAGAAGCCAAACCCTTCCCAGGTGCCCTTCACAGAGAATCCACACGGGGCCTGAGCATGATCCCCTGAGTCACAGTGGACCGGGCCAGATCAGGTTGCTTCAGCATTTTGGTATCTTCTCATGACCGGTTCTTCCACTGCAACCTTCCCAGAATTACATCAACAAGGGGCCGGGCACACAGAAACTCCTTACCAGGCCTGCAGCAGCCTCAGTCTCATTTCTCACACAAAGGCATGGAGAAGTGCTCCCCGGATTCGAATCGTGGAAGCGACTGGCTGGAATGTCACCTGTCACCTCACTCCGAATCCAGTGACCTTGATGGACTTGAGATCTAAGCACCTGCGTGGGTAACTGATGTGGAGTCCACTGTGGCCCCCCACCCCCCACTTAACTACAAGCGACAGAACAGGATCTCAAGTGGTCATCTGGAAATTATTCTTTGCTATAAAAGCTCTGCTTCATCTGCATTTTTATGCCCATATTAAAACTCAAGAGAAGTCATTAGGCTTCAGCCAGCTCACAATACCTCTGGCCTGGGTAGGTTCCACTTGCAACCCCCAGAGCATGGTTAGAATCCTTCAAATTATTAAACAATTAGAGTGCTTCCCTTGGGGTCACATTTGGCAACAAGACACTGGCCTAAGCGAACCAAAGACATGACCCAGTGAATAACACCTACATTTTTAACTTGCTAGAAGCAAATGGGCGTGACGTACTTCTAGGGTAGAAACTAGAGAAACAGGCGGGGCAGGGTTTAGAAACTGTGACTATGGGGAATAGTTCGGTAACTAGTGCCAGGCTCCCCACCAACCCTACTCCAATCCCAGTTTCCAGTTCAGGAGTGGCTACAGCCACAAGGAGAAAGCCGAGCATATGGCTCTGTCCTTCTGGACATTTCTACAATGTAGGCTAGGCTGCTCTAGAAAATCCCATTCTTTTTCCTCCTACAGCTATATGACCTCAAGTTGTCATTTCAAATAAAGTATGCTTCCACTGATTTTTATGAACACAGACAAAAGCGGCTACAACCTTGGTTCCCCCCAGCCCCCCAAAAATACCCTTGTGAACCAACTGGAGTTGCTATGTAGGGTTATTTGTTTCTAAGGCAACAGCGTATATCTAAGTACTAATGGCCTGTCCTTTTGCCAGGCAACAAACAGCCTTGTGATGCAAGTGCACCTGTCTCGGCTACGCGTTACCATGGAGACACTCCAGTTGCTATGGCTACCATCAAGCTAATCGCCTAGCAAAGGCAGACATACAGCAGTCCTCTCATAGAGCCCAGCTGCTTCTCCCGTCTCTTGCCGGAGACTGATTGTCTAGGGCCTGTGATGGAATGCATAAGAACTTCATTAATGCCACGTCAGAGGCTCACTCTGTGTGCCCTCCTGCAGAACAAACATCAGAACAGAAAAATCTGCAAGTGGACTGTAAAATTCCCTAGGCTTCTGACATCAGGCCATTCCCAATTAACATGAATGTCTAGTCCAGGGGCAATTTTTCTAACTGGGGAGTTACAAAAGAAACATTGCTACATGTCTTCTAGAATTTCTTGGTAGGGGACTCAGTAGAAAGATGGCTCAGTGACTAAGAGCACCGGCTCCTCTTCCAGAGGACCTAGGTTCAGTTTCCAGCACAGACATGCAGTGGCTCATACCAACCATCTATAACTCCAGTTCCAGAGGATGCGATGCCCTCTTCCGGCCTCCACAGACACCAAGCACACAAGTGCTGCAGGCATAAACTGCATAGATGCAGACAAAACACCCGTACACATAAATAAGCAAAATCATTTTCAAAAACTTTCTTGGAGGGGCTGATGACAAACCAAAGCACCATGAGTAGCTAAGACTCCACGTTTTGAAATCTGGTTCCTTGTTCTGTATGGCCCTCTCTTCTGAAGCACTAACATGCTTCTTCAAACTGCGACAATCTACTTAACACCCCCCTCCCACTATATATTTGCAAAGCTGTGACCTCCATCTCACGACAAACAGACGTGTGAGGAGGGCGAGCGGCTGCTGTGCTCAAGGCAAACACTTAGTAACCACAACAAACCCATCACTCGGGCGCCCGTCTACATGGAAACGGGATGACAACAACCAAGCAAGCCCTCTTTCAGCGTCTACACAGTCAGGCCATGGGAAGATGGGATCACCCGCTCACCTTGCTGCTCTTGGCCCAACAAATCGTGATGCATGGAGATCTGGAGGCTGCCACCTTTCCTCCGTGAATGTCTCTACCCAGGAAGACACTGTTTCACCAACCAGGAAGCCTTCTGGAGGCAGCAGACCCTTGGAGCAGCAGAAGCGGTAAGGCTCCCAGGAACCACATCAATGGATGTGCCTCCTAATGACACTTAATTTTTTTTCTCATTTATCTGCAATTATTTTTTTTAAAGCTCATACAGCCCTACTAAATTGTTTTCTGCTAAAATAACAAAATTCCAGGAGAAGTTAAAAAAAAAATAATAATCCGACGGTCCAATTTACTTACCTTTGATAAGCCTGAGGAGTAGGAGGAGGGTGGTAAGGTGTCTTTTTCAAAGCCTGAATTAGATTTTGTCTATACTCTGGGTCTATGCACCACAATGACCCTTTCCCAATGCTCTGCAGAGAAAAATTAAAATGAAAACGTATTAATACAGTACGGAGTGTTCTGCAGTACTCCCAAAAGTTTCCTGTTTACTTGTTAACTGTTTCCCAGACTCAAATGTTGTCCTCTGACGTCGGGACACCACTGAATGCTTGTTGCTGTTCTTTGCACTAAGTAGGATAGGTAAGATGACCATGTTGTTCCCAGACTGTGTGGATACAATAATACAATTTTTGTATCTGAACTACCCCAAAACAAGAATCCCTTGTTTTCCAGAATGAATTTGGAAGAATATACAGCCTTTTCCAAAGATCTATAATTTGGCTGATGTTCACGTTAAGAGTGCTGAGACAACCTCAATGCTCCATTTCTGTTCTAAAAATCCCAGCTGTTTAAACCACATTATCCTGGCACAATCTTACAAAAAAGGAAAAGTAATCCACTCTTTGTTTTTGGTGTCCCGTCCCCCCAACTAGCTCACAAAAGAACATTTATGCTTGGAATGGAATTTATAATTACCTTCCCCTAAGAAACAAAAGCCCAGGCAACAATAGCAAACCTAAGCCAGAATCCAACATATTTTTTTTATTTTTAGGAAGGGGGGGTGTCCTTCCGTTCACAGCAATCTGCTCCAGGACTCTAGGAATCTTTAGAAGAGGTCACGTGGTAAAAGTGCAAATTGGCTTAAACTGTTCCCTGGGGGAAGGAAGCTTTTCCCTAAGGCCACGTTTGGGCTAGCTGAAGGCAACTGATCTGAGCTCAGCATATTGCTTTAAAAGTGGGAGGGGGGTGGCCCTTAAACGGAACAGCTCACATTGCCCTCTTTCAGCTGGGCCAGTGTACCCAAAGCATTTGAAAAGGTCATTTGTAAATATTTACAGGTTTGGAAAGAAAAGAAACTAAATCACCTAGCCCCACGCCCACCTACCCCATGCTCCTCTTTCTCTTTCCCTTTCCCTCCTTCTCCCTGGTGGTGACGCCAACATTTAGGAAAACAGACAAGAAAACCTCTTAACTAACACGGGAAAGAAAAGTACAAGGACACCACATTGAAGGAACACTAAAGAAAGCTAAGTCACTGCAAAAATCTTGAAACAATTTTTCTATCCTGTATTTCACTTGTTACGTTGCCAAATAGTTTCCTTACAAGCTTTGTGCATTCGTGACACACTCTAAAATAATTCTCATGCCTCAGTAACAGCACACCTAGAATGAACTGTTTCCGGTGTGCTGGAGCCTGAGAGTCCTGCAAAGCCATGTTCAATGGCCACACCTGGAACCACCCCAGTTACTGGGTCCCAGAGCATCTATGCTGAAGACATACATGCAAGGCTTGATCATGTGGGCAGTTAAAGACCTAAAGTCATCGACTTACACAGCCTTTCCTTTCACGTTCACGTTTTTAGGTCTGGCATAGTTTGCAGGGCTTGACCTGACTTTCCAGGTAAAGCGGGCCCTGTATCCTTTATCTCTTCCTACAGAAAAATCTTCATGGCATACCTTAAAGAAAGCCAAAAGAGCTGGGCTCGGTGGCACGTGCCTGTAATCCCAGCCGAGGCCAGCAGATCTCTGTGAGTTTGAGGCCAGAACTCAAAGCCAGTCCAGGAGAGCCATGGCTACACAGAGAAACCTTGTCTTGAAAAACATTTTAAAGAAGTAAGGAGTGGGCAGGTGTGGGGAGAGAGCTGGTAAGGCAATGAATTACCAAACTACATTTTAAAGAAAAAGAAGGCACCAAAGCAAGTTAGCTCTTCAGCACTGGGAGGGCTGGCTCCCAGCTGAGCCCGGGACAGGGCATCAGAGTACAGTGTGGCCTAAGCCTACAGGAAGGCCATGGCCAAGAAACACTTCTGCAAGGAGATGGTCCCAGCAGCAGGAGCCTTTGTTTTCATCAAAATGACTTCTCAAGGAAGGGCAGTTTAATCTTTCTCCTGAAAACACCCACAACAAAGCAATCAGGGGGCCAAGCAGCCTTCTCAGGTAAACAACTACAAGCCAGGAATGTGGTTCTGCCAATCCCAAGGCAAGTATCCCATTCATGTTGTGATACTATTTATCCCCCACCCCAGTAAGTGATCCAGCTGCTGAGAGGGAGGCCAAGCAACCATTCTTAAGTGGCTCTGCACAGGTCATGGTGCAAGTCACGGCACTGGGGGGAGAGACAGGCCCAGGGACGGTGTTACAGAAATCACTAACACAGTGGCCATGCCTGCAGGTATCCAAGAAGTAAGTGAAAGGTAAGAGATCTTAGTAAGAGAACATGTCTGACTAAACATGTCCCATTTCATTCAACCCGATCTGGTTTTTTTTTTTTTTTTTTTTTAGGTCCAGCAGTGACATGGGAGGGGTTCTTGCAACTGACAAGACCGTGGTGCTGCGGTCTTGGCTGAACAAATACATTGTAGCATAAGCCCCTTTCTACACTATCTGCCTCCTGTGCACCCCACACATCAGGCCCAGGCCGCTGCAACTTCTTTATGCAGGAAGGCAAGCCCACTGACAACCACCCAGCTTCTAGAAGGTTCCTGTTGCCAGGCCTTAGTTAGTACAAGTAGCTAACAACCATCTCAGGCTCTGGATCCTAAGAAGCGATTCCTGCCCTTACTCCACTGAGGTCCAGGATTCCTGGTTCTTTCGCTTGGGGGGATTTTTGTTGTTTTCCTCGCCAGATAGGCACTGGTTGAAAAACAGTAAGATACTAAAATGCAGTGTATCTCCCACTGACAGCTGCAGGCATTGCAGAGAAGAAAAGCTAAATGCAGTGCTTCTCGGGTACGTACCCACAGGTACCCAGTCAAAGCCTCTGATGGCTTTAGAGTAAAACACGGAAGCACAGACCTTGGGGTTCAGGGTGGTGGGAAAGGCTGGAAATGCCCTTCATTTTTGAGCCCTCTCTTTGGTTTCATGTGGTAATTCATGTGGTTTAGTTAGAAACTTCTGAGATGGAAATGTGCAGGGCCTAGAGCACTCAAGTTTCAAGGGCCAGGAAAAATTGTGCTGAATGCCTCTTGCAGAAGGGGTGTAATTTGATTACAGTTTTGAGAGTCAGGGCATTTATGGAAATCTCTGCATCTCATTCTTGTCCTGAAGACAAGAATGCAGACCTTTTTAATGGAAATGACTGTGAAGGTCACGCGCCATTAGATTGTTGAGGAATTCAAAACAATAAAACACTTCCCTTAGAGGTGCATTTTCATTATAGATACACATATATGTGTATGTATTATCCACATATACACGCATACATCAAACCACACACACACACACACACACACACACACACCAGAGCGGAACAATTAGTGCAAAGATAAAAATAAAATCAAGTTTGTGTGTGTGTGTGTGTGTGTGTGTGTGTGTGTGTGTGTGTGTTTAAAACTACCTGAGAAGTCACTGACAACACCATTGATTTAGGGGGAAAAAATCAACATACAAGAGAAAAAAAAATCTTTTGAGGGGGGAAAAAAAAACTAAATGAAATTTACCAGGAAAAGGTCCGTCTCCCCGCCAAGTCTTCTGGAGCAGTTTGGATGGAGGGGTCTTTTCTGCAGGCTCCTCACACCCCCCCCCATCCCACAGCCCTGTAAAACACACTTAGCAGTCAGCCTGACACCAGCTTTGTAAGTTCAAATTCCTTTGCTAGATACAGAATTCCAGAGGAAAAGCACTGTGTGTATATATGTGTGTGTATGTGTGGCTTGTGTGCAAGTATAAAGGTGCAAGCACTGTGCAGAGGAGACGGTAAGGGACAAGGATGCCAGGTGATGCTTATCACTCTCTGCCTTGGTACCCTGGACAAAGTGTCAAGGCAGGCAGTTGGTCAGAAAACCCTAGGCATCCTCCCTTCTCTGCCCCCACAGAGCCAGGCTTACTGGTGGGCACCGGCACAATCCCCCCATCTCTTTACAAACGTGTTGGGGATTTGACTGCAGGTCCTATGCTCTTACCTGCTGGGCCATCTCCTTGGCATGTTTTAAACCCTGTTTTTTCAAACTGTATGACACTATGCCTTGATGGGCCATCAGTCCACTGTAGTGGGTCATAACTTAAAGGACAGAATAGAAACAAACAGGAAAGAGCAGAAAATGTCTGCAGTAGCACGCTGTGAGATGCGTGTGTGTACGTACGCGCGGTGCACATTTGTGTTCTGGTTACAAGGTAGTATGAGACGTCCAGTTGGCCAACAGTGTTCCATGGTAAAAATCTCTAACAGTAATAACAGATACACTTAATGCAGTGCTCAGGGGCTGAGGGGGAGTGTGGCCATCAGGACCCTGTTTTTAAAATGAGAGGGACCTGGGTGTGTCCCCTCAGTGACTGGTAAATACTTCTTGATGACATGACATTTCTGAGGCCATTTCCAGCATTACCCAACCTCACTAATGACCAATCGGTCGATGTTCGTTTGTTTGTTCCTTCCTTCCTTCCTTCTCTCCCTCCCTTCCTATTCACCTCTTTGCCAGTCACTGTGGAGGAGACATTAACAAATAAAAGCAACACAAAGAGGTGGTTGCCTTCAGGCAGCTTATATTCCGGAGAGGAAAAACATGAGTGGTGTAGAAAGAACAGCCTGGCTGGGAAGGCAACAGGCAAGGAGCCAGTGCTGTGCGAGGGATAAGCTGGCGGGAGGCGGCAAGGGGGCTTGCCCAGGAGTCTGCGTCAGATTCAGTATCCAGGTCTGATGACCATGGGCACTGAGTTGTGTAAGGACAGTAGAAGGTGAGGAGGAAGAGCAAGAGCAGGAAGAGGAGGAGCAGGGGGAGGAAGGACGCAGCTTCGGCATGTATTTTGCAAAACTAGATAAAGATGGGAATGGATTCAAGGTGCCAGGGAAAGAAAAACAACGGTTTTGTCTAACTAGCCAGGTAGAAGAAAGACTAGAGAAGACAAAATCCAACGTGCTATTGAATTCATAACCTTTGGCCCCATCTACTAAATGTACTGATTGTGGTATTTCTAAGAATGTACAGGAGGTGGGAATGCAGCTCGGTCGTGATTCCTGAAGCTCCATCCTGGT